TTGAAGGTGGCAAAATGGTGAATTCTAAATGGCTTGTCTTCTCCATTTATTAGCTGGCATTCTCCTCTAACGAAGAGCTTTTCTTTACCAACTGGGGATGATTGTTGATGACAGTTCTTCCTAAAAAAGTAGGGTGAATGGTTAATCCTTTCTCTTTACCAATTTTCACGGTAAGGAATCCGGATAATAGTCACAGCGGTTCTGGCAAATGATCTTTCTTTTTTGTAGATTTTTGCATATTCCATGTGTTGAAACAACTTTCTGCCATTGTTCTTTAGTGTTGAGATTACCACACATTTGGGCCAGTGGGAGTCTGTCCATGCTCCCAACCTGTGAATGAAACATAAACAAATGAAATTACAGTAGTGTGGGGGAAGCCAGAAAACTGGATATTTGGTAATATAAAGGAATGATTATTAGTTGGGATAATGTCATTATGGTCATTAAAAGACAAAAGAAGCCGCACCTCTTGGAGATGACTTACTGAGGTATATGCTGACGAGATAGGATTGACCTTGGAATAGTTCATGGGCTGCTGGGGTTGTAGGAGAGTAGATGAGGCAGAGAGGAGGCGGGTTTGGCTACATGCTATTAAGAAGCTGCGTGATGGGTGCTTGGGGCTTTATTATACTGTTCTGCCTGAACATGTTTGAAACATTCCCGAATAAAAAGCTTTTTAGAAGTGCCTGGGTGACTCAGTTGGTTTAGTGTGTGCCTTTGGCTCAGGTCATGATCCCAGGGTCATGGGATCGAGTCCTGCTTTGGGCTTTTTTTTTTTTTCCTTGAAAGATTTTCTTTATTTGTTTGAGAGAGAGAGAGAGTGAGAGACAGCATGAGCGAGGAGAAGGTCAGAGGGAGACGCAGACTCCCCATGGAGCTGGGAGCCCGATGCGGGACTCGATCCTAGGATTCTGGGATCATGACCTGAGCTGAAGGCAGTCGTTTAACCATCTCAGCCGCCCAGGCACCCTGCTTTGGGCTTTCTGCTCAGAGGGGAGTTGGCTTCTCCCTGCTTGTGTTCCTGTGCACTTGCTCTCTCTCTCTCTCAAATAAATAAACTTTTTCTTAAAAAATCTTTTTAATTATTAGAATTTAAGTTGGTATTTACAATTCAAATTTAGTGATCTCACGGCTTTTTTCTTAACATTACATTTATATTTTATCTATGAAAAGCTGATTTTGAAGAAATAGGTATATGTTTACCTTTGCTGCCATAAAGCCAAAATTTAGCTAGTATTGGAGCTTAATTGCTGTCAAGAAAATTTAAAAGTGGGGTGCCTGGGTGGCTCAGTGGGTTAAAGCCTCTGCCTTCAGCATAGGTTATGATTTCAGGGTCCTGGGATCGAGCCCCACATCGGGCTCTCTGCTCAGCAGGGAGCCTGCTTCCCCCTCTCTCTCTGCCTGCCTCTATGTCTACATGTGATCTCTCTGTCAAATAAATAAATCTTAAAAAAAAAAAGGAAAGAAAATTTAAAACTTTATTAAAATTTAAATAATGGTGCAGAACTTAAAGAAAAATATAGTTACAGTATTTTTCTACTCCTTTTCCTTTTCCTGGAAAGTGTTTTTGAAGTTTTTTAAAAAAATTCTACATCATTTTTCTGAAATCATCTTTATTTTGTAATTTCATTTACTAGTAAAAAATACTTCTGTGTAAAAGATGGAGGAAAAATGACAATTAGGAAGGATGGGGGGGAAAATCACTTGTGTCCTTTACCACAAACAACCAGGGTTTTCATAAATTTTATTTTATCCTTTTCTTATGCTTTGTCTATTCATATGCTTTCTTGTTTTTGAAAATCTTACATTTTGAGAAAAAAAAAATCCTACATTTTGAAATAATATTCTCTGTTTTAATGTGTTGAGAATTCATTACCCAGGATGCAGTCGCTGTCTTCCATTACTGTCAGTGCCAGCCTAACTCTTGGTGAAATTTGGTACTGCTGCTATTTTTCTGATGCTAAATGGAAAACCGTCTTCTCTGGTCTCCTCAGGCTTTTCTGCTTTTTGGTCTGGGGGCTTCCTCCACCAACAAATATCTGACTTCTTTTGTTAAACAGGAGTATCTCAGCTACTTAAAATGCAGTCTGGGGGGCATTTGGGTGGCTCAGTCAGTTAAGCATCTGCCTTCGGCTCAGGTTGTGATCTCAGGCTCCTGGGATCGAGTCCTGTGTCGGGCTCCCTGCTCAGCGGGGAGTCTGCTTCTTCCTCTGCCTGCAGCTCCCCCTGCTCATACTCTGTCTCTCTTTGTCTCTGTGTGTGTCTCTCTCCTCTCTCTCAAATAAATAAAATCTTTTAAAAAAATAAATAAAAATGAAAAAAAAAAAAAAAAAGATCCAGTCTGCTCCTGTTCTTGAGCCTTTACCTGCAGCTGGAGTCCTGACCAGGTAGCAACTGTGAGTGAGTTCATCTCCTCCCCTGTGGGTAGAGCATCTGCCCTTAGATCTCAGTGAGGCCAGTGACATTTGGGAGGCCAGCCAGAACGTGAAGCGCAGGGGCTACCTACATTTGTGTGTTTTGCTAGGGAATGACGCATCTGAGGACCCAGGGGTCAGACACCAGCAGACACCGCCTTCCCTCCTGGCTATTCCCTTTGGCTCAAACATTGGTTCGCTCAGCATGTCCGTGCTGATAGGGGCTCTGGGCTCTAGTGTTAGGAACTTGCATTATAGTGAGGACAGATTGTGCACATGTGTGCAAAGTAGCTATAGACTATGGCGGGATGTGGATTCTTTCAAAGGCAAGGTAATGGGTTTGAAAGTGATGGGGGTACAGTGTTCTATAGAGTGGATGGGGAGGCCTCGCTGAGCAGTAACCCTTAAGCCGAGGGAGGCCTGAGGTAAATGAACCACGCAGCTGAGGGAAGGGACCTCCTGGGTGAAAGGACCCAGAGGAAGACTGTGTTCGGTATGTGCCAGGAACAGCCCCTAGGCCAGTGAGGTTGGAACAGAGCTGGAAGAGGCGGGATAGGCGCGGTGGGCAGAGGTGGGTGGGGGCCACTGTGGGCCTCTTCAGGGGCTTGGCTTCCCCCTCTCCCCTCCCAAGAGAGGTGAAAGCCAGTGGAGGGTTCTGATCAGAGGCTGGACGTCATCTGCCATGTACATGTTGATGTGGGTGATAAATTAGAGGGGGTAAGGGCAGAGGCAGGAGGGCAGTCAGGAGGCTGACCACAAACCAGGTGAGAGAGGGGGATATTTTTGTAGTGGGGTAACAGCAACACAGAAGGCAAGGTGTGGTTGGGATTTTAGAGGCTGAGCAGCCAGCTGCAGTGCTAAATTGCTAAAAGAAAAGGGAGAGTGAAGGATAAATTTGCTGTTTGCAGCCTGAGCGGCTGGAAGGGCATGTGGTCTTTCTGTGACATAGGGAAGACTGAGGGAGGAGGCAGCATAGGGGGAGAAGACTGAGAGTTCAGTGGGGAATGTCTTCACTGTGGGCGACATTAGATATCCAAGTGGACAGCTTGGGCCGCAGTCAGCCCAACCCAAGGCCTAAGACAGGGTGATGATGAGGTTGCGTCAGTGATTGTACAGCCCAGTGGGATCAAAGCTAGGCACCAGAGGGCACTTCCAGTTTTAGCAAACATTCCAAGTGACTCTCCTGCAGGTGACCCAGGGACCATTCTTTGAGAAGCATTGCTGAAGGCCCCTCTCCCATCCTCTTTGGTTGTGGACAGGCCCACCTCCCTGAGTCCTTGTGTTGCCCACCCCAGATGACATGATTGGGCTCTCTCTTTCCTCCTCCAGCCTGCCCCTCTAGGCTTTGCCCAGCATATGAATGGAAAGAGAAAGACTTATTGGAGGAGAGAAGCAAGTTCAAAATCAAAATGCCATTTATAAGAACAGTGGTTATTCCTATGAAATAAACCAGAATCACCATGTGTACCGAATGCTTCATTAACGTTGGCTTGTCATGCCTTCCCTTGTGGGTCATCGTATAGTTTATGAGCTCAGCACTCTGATTTACATCAGGGTATTTCCTTCCTGAGAGTCTCCATCAGTGCTCCCAGGGGGTCAGCTTCCTTCGTGGGGGTCCCTTTCCCCAGAATAGAGCTCTTGTCTTCTGTGTACCAGTGGATGTTTTGATAAATTGTCTTAGCAGTTGATTGTATTAAAAGCTTTTGAGTTGGTATTTATGAATCACCAAGCATTTTATATATGCATTCTCCTAAATAAACCTTTAGGATGATTTTTGCTTTTAGAGTTGGCGCTACAAGATCCTTGGGAAATAGAGTCAAATGAGCTAGTGTTGGGGGAGAAACGACGGAAAATGACAGCACTGTGCAGGTACGGTTCATTCTCACAATAACTTGCGCTGGGGACAGTACGTCCACCACTTAATATGACTACAGTCCCCTGACAGTGCATGTCATTGGCGTAAATTCCCCAGGCACGGATCCACAGCATTCACAGGTGACCTAGGCCTGCAGCCTCACACACGCCCTCCGTGTACCACAGCATCAAAGCACGGGGAGGAACGGATGGAATTGTAACAAACCTTCTCTCTGCTTTTTAGGATGGCCGCCCTTCTTCTAAAGAGGCTAACATCACAGTCCATAAAGACTGGAAATAACTGCATCAGCAGATGTCTTGGTAAATGCATCCTGCATGAGACCATCCCAGCGCAGCGGTCCCTCGGAGCTTCTGTCCCAAGACTGTCCTCCTGGATTCATGCAAAAGCTTTCAGTACTGTTGCGGACCCCCAGGACGAAAGAAAGAAGAAGAAAAAGAGCAAGCCGGCTTTTAACAGCATCGGGAGAAAAATTCACGAGCGAGTCATTCACGTGCTGGATGAGGCAGGCAATGATTTGGGAAACATGCACCGAGCAGACGTGATCAGGCTCATGAACGAGCGGGACCTGAGGCTCGTGAAACGGGACAGCGGCACCGAGTCTCCCCAGTACCAGCTCCTGACGGGGGCACAGATTCACAAGGAGCAGCTGAGGCTTCGGGAACTGGAAAAGGCCAACCCCAAAGCTGGTAGGTGCCATGCTGTCTGCAGACTGAGTCCTCGGGACCCCAGACCAGCAGTTGAGAGCGGCATCTGCCAAGGCTCCCCGTGACCTCGGGGATGTGAAAAAGTAGGGAAGTTCACGGTCTCCCCACCCCTGCCCACCTCTTTCTTCAGCTTTCCGTTATTGCCATTCCATTTTTTCCTGGATGCCCTGTGGACAGCATCTCTTCCTTTAAGCCTGTGTAAAAAGGTGCAGGGTGGGGGATAAGGTAAACTCCCCAAAGTGATGAAGCCGCTTCTCCCTGTGGTCCTTAGCTCAGTCTCTGATCTGGGGGTGGCAGAGCCATTCGCAGTGGGAGTGAAAGGAGACTCGGAGGTGGCGGATTCGAGTCCCTGTTCCAGGGCTGGGCCATTCGATTCCCCGCCTTTCCCCCCACATCTCTAAAGTGGCGGTGCTTCATTAATTGCTTGGAAGCACTTTCTAACCTCCTAGGTGATTCAGGTGATTCTAACCTCCTAGGCTCTCCCACCCCAGTGTTTTGTTACAATATTGGTTAAGTAATGCTCATTTATGCATTTTGTGGATCACCTTCCAATGCCCTTGTCACGGATGCCTTCATGGAACCATGAGTTGAATAGTCATGGATTTGTCACGATTCCTTCTAAGTGCTGATCATTACGAAAGAGTGTTTTCTGTTAAACAGCCTGGGACAGGGACCAGGAAGACTGGTCCCGAAGCTGCCACAGTGAGGTTGTGTGTCTTAAGAAAACCACACACTGTCTGTGGCTCAGTCTTGTAAGCCCACATTCAGCAAAGATGTTGACTAGAAAACAAAGAGCATTCAGAAGAGGCCAACTAGGATGGTAAAGACTTCAAACTATATCCCAGAAAAGTAGTTGAACAACCCAGAGAAGCTTGGAGAAGACCCGTTGCTGTTGTGAGCGCTACTTGGAGGGCTAAGGTGTTAAAGGCATTATTTTGTTCTGAGAGAGACCTAGGACCAGCTGCAGGGGCTTGAGGAAAGCAAGGAGGTGTTAATGAAAGGACTTTCTCTTTTTAGAAACATTGCTTTTATTTTGGAAATTGGAAAGCATACAGAAAAATATAAATACCTACTATCCACTGTCCAGAATGAACAAGCATTAACATTGCTGTGCTTCAGATTCTTAAACAAAATAAAACATCCCAGAAAAGTTGGAAGTCCCCTGTGCGCCGTTTCCCGGTGCTGTCCTCCCTTTCCACCATCATGGACTCCGGGTGTAGTAGATCTGTGTTGTTAAGCTTTGGTTCCATATATACAGTGTAGAGCAGGATTTTATACACATAAAAATTATGTCATGCTGTTTTCAAGAGTCATGTTGATAGAACAGCTGTAGCTGATTTATTATAATTACTAAATAGAATCCTAAGGATATACCATATACCATGGCTTTAGTGCCTTGCGTGGACATTGGGCTCGTTTCCAGTCTTTCATTGAGAACAATGCTCCTGTCAGTGTCCTGAGCCTGTGGGGCAGATCAGCAGTGTATGAAATTTCTTTCCCCACATCCTCACCCACACTTGGTACTCTCATTTTTGTCATGCTGATGGATGGGAAAGCCTGTCTTACTTATTTGTATTTCCTTTCACCATTTGAGCTGCCTCCTCTGTGAATTACCTGTTTATCGTCCCTGTTTTTCTACTTGTATGGTCCTCCCCCCACCTCCGATTTATATAGGGTTCTCTGTTTTGTGTGATGCCAAAACCTTGTCCCGGTTAGATTTCTTTTGTTGTCCTTTTAAAAATTACCCAGTAGTGTTTTGATATAGGAAATTACCAGTTTTTTTCTTAACAAAATCCTTCTCCCGTCTTGAGGTCACAAACATACACTTTGCTTTCTTCTATTTTAAAGTTGTAATTTTTTCACATTTAGTCAGACCTCCTAGGGAGATTGTTGTATGGGTTGAGACCTAATTTTTCTCCCATATCAAAACTCTGAATTGTCCTGGCGCTTTTACTAGGTAGTTTGTTCCTTCCCTGTAAAATAATTTTTAGAAAGGTCAGGGTTTCAATTTTCAGAATACAGGACACAGGGAGCTCCCTCTTGTTTCATGCAGTCTGGATGACCCCACTGTCACTAGGAGGCCATCGCAAAAGGAGTCAGATGAGAAGAGGACTTCCCATCTGCTGCTCTAATCAGAAGGAAAAATAAGGATAGTCAAATTTTATCATAAAGCTAGACTCGTTCCTTTTAAAGGACCATTCTTTTGTTCTTTCATCAAATGAATGTAAGGATAATGGAAGCATTCCATACATTACAGAATATCTACTTTACTTTTAAAGGCTGAGAACAATATACTCTTACTTGGCAGGTAAAAAATCGGTACCTTTAAGTCTGTCCATCTCCCTTGTTTAAAAAAACATTTGAAACTGAGTCAGAGAGGAGCGTTGGGCCCCTGTGCCAAGCTGATCTCTCCCGAAGTGTGTGATACGGCTCAGGTCTCATGAAGAGACCAGTGAGCAGTCCTAGCACCAAGTCTCCCTGTTTCAAACTAGGATCTACCCTGACAAAGGAACTCAGTTTTTCTTCAAATATTGGACAACATGACTTGGATACAAAGAGTAAACAGATTCAGCAGTGGATTGAGAAACAATACAAAGTTCAAATTACCATAAAGAAAGGGAAGAACCCAGAGGAGCCAGAACAGAAGATGGTGAGTACAGGCAGGTATGAGGAACTATTCACGGTTTTTGTTTTCTGATCTAAAGATATAATTGTAGAAAATCTGGAGAATGTAAAGGCAAAGATGAGTAATGGCTAATTCTGTCTGGTGATGGCAGTAGATTTCCAATTCATTTTTCAAAATGTAAGCATACTCTGTGTACATCACTTTTTCCATGGAAGCGTAAGTATTTTGTCCTGTGAAAACATTGCGCTGCATAATCGCAGGGCTATCTACTATTCTTTTTACAAACTGCACAATATTTATAATTTAAAAACATAAGATTCATTTTTAAAAGTCTCCTATTTATAATGCCCCTGAGAAGCATTATATATAAAGTCACACTGCCTTTCTGGAAAGTATGTTTATACTCCCAGGCTAAGCTTCTAGAGTATTTGTTTTGCCCTTAAGAGTCCAAGACCTTAGCAGCCAAAAGGCAGCATTAGTCTGCTGGTTTCCGCCCTCACTCCAGGTCAGAATCACTTAGGCCTAGGTTTCAGCCCAGATTCTCTAGAACTGGGTGTATTCTTCTAATCACCCCAGTGACTCTATGTTACCAATGTTAAGAAATGCACTAGACTGACAGTTTGGGGGATAGAGGTCCTCTGTCAGTACCGAAACCCACTGCTTTGTACTTCCCTTTTTTGAGATGGTAGAAGGGCCCAGACACAGTCCCGCAATGCCAGGACAGAGTGGGAATTTAAAACTATCAACCTTCAGTGCATCAGTTAGTTATGTGACATTTATAAAACTCCTGGTTATCATACAGTTTTCAGTCAGCTTAACCAGATAGGCACAATTTGATATTAGATAGTCACTTAACAGCAATTCAGGAATGCTGATTTTTATGTGTATTAGAGCATTAACACTAGAAAGCATCAAAGACAGTTTTAAATTAATCTTTGGGTGTTTTCCCTTTCTAGGAGGAGATCTGTCATCAAATACTCCAGACCCTGCCTGGACTAGCGACCTTCTCATCCCGGCCACAGCCTGTTCGGGGAGGAAAAGCTGTAATGTGTGTTCTTCGTCATTTGAGCAAAAAGGAAGAGAATGCCTGGAGAGAAGCTCAAGGAACCCAGAAAGGAGACACTTTGAACAAAGAAAACAGAAACAATCAAGAATCAGATGTTGTGCATCAGTGATTTTAATAAAGAAAAATGTGCTTCTGAGTGGAAGTCACTGAGCTGGCTGCTGCGTGTCATTTAAACAAAGCAGTGTGAGGTTCAGCTGAGCGTAAGGGCCGCAGCAGTCGAGAGTACTTTGTCTTCAGTACAGTTCAGGGTCTCTCCCTCTTTAGGTGCAGATAAGTCTTGTTCTTGCTTCCTTTTAGGAGGAATATAGCCACTGAGACGAGAGGCCAAACTCCGTTTTTCACGAGAGGGTTTTACCTTTGGAGATAAGAAAACAAGATAATGGGAATTCAAAATCAAGCTGTGTGAACTGATCTTCTACTAGCTGTTACCCTCCCCCACCCCACCCCGGCACACAGCGCTCCTTTAGAACAGAGTGAAGGTCGTGCCCTCCTTTCCACAGCAGTGCAGGCTCACTCGCTACTAAGGAGCTGAAACATTCTAGATTGCATCTGGCTGAGGTAACTGATGTTTAAAATCAACAGCTTCCCTGACTCAACTTACTTTGAGCTTCATTTTCTTCTTGTCAGGGTCATGCACAACGGCATGCCTAGTGAGACTTTGCTACAATGAAGGAAAAACAAACAGTTACATCTTTAGAACACTGCCATTTTGGTATCTCTTAATAGGAAAACTCCATAACTTACTTAAATAAACTGTCCACCTTCTTTTTGTTACATCCCATTGAAGGATGTGACCTCAGCTTACAAAGATTCCCCCACCAGAGCAGAATTCTTCCTCAAATCCTAGACCTAAATCACTATCTTTCTGAAGGACCCAGGTTAGGAACTTAACACAGTCTCAACCTCGGCTGGCTTCTCAGTTGTTTCGTTAAGTAAGAGGAGGGGAAACCAGTTCTGAGTGAGCTATTCCAAGCCGAAGAAGGTTCTTTTAGCTGAACTTCAGCAGCATTCCCAAACCCCAGTGGAAAGTCTGACCGAGGCCTTGCAATCCTCAATAATGCTGACCACCATCAGCCCCAGGTTGTTTTCTAACGGTCTAGACGCACGAGGCGCCCGCCTCACTGTCTCTTTAGACTCAACTCTAACTCATGGTTCACACTTGTAGGAGCACCTGGTAGATTGAGGGTCCGCAGAGCAGCGCGGGTCCTCTGGTAAGTGTCCCGTTCTTACCTATTCAAGTCACACCAAGATCCAGACTAGATCCCCACGTGCTATAGTCCCTCATGTCCTTGTTGCCCACTCTCTCAACCCCTAAAAGATGACAGTCTAAAAGGACACCCAAGTATCAGCATACTCTTATAATTAATAAGCATGTGGTACCACAGGCCACTGGTTCTCAAGGACATGAAGACCCAGAAGGTTTGTTAAAACACAAATTACTGGGCCCCATCTCCAGAGTTTCTGATCCAGGGAGGGTCTCTGGATATGCATTTCTAGCAAGTTCTCAGGTGACACTGATGCTCCTGGTCCAGGGCCATGCTTTGAGAGCCACTGGCATAGGAAGATCCAGTTGTTCTGCAGACCTGAGTTAAGAACTGCTCCTGCTGAAGCCAAAATGGAAGGTCCAGAGCACTCGGCTTTCCCCATCTGTAGGCCCTGGGGCACCATCTTGGAATCCAGAGCTCCCAGGAACCCAGCTGGGAAGCCCCAGACCTAAAGGACAGCATCCGGGAGGGCGAGTACTTACTTTCATTGCGAAGGTTTTGCCACAGCCAGGATGTTCACAGGTAAATGGGCGCCTTTCCTCGTGAAAAGAGAGAATGTGGCTCTGGAGGTTAAACACGGTTGTGTAGGTCCTACCACAGCCTTCCCTTGGACACCGGCATACATCCCTTTCCGGGGCGTGAGTTTTCATATGCTGCTTAAGGTAATCCTTGCGCTTAAATGTTTTCTGGCATACTTCACATTTTATGTCTTCTGGTGGAGTAGACAGACAAACTTAACCGATTTCCTCAGGTATAACCATACAGAGAAAATGTACTTCAATATATAAGTAATGTATTTGATGCCGAAAATGTCAAGATTATCATAAACCAGAAAACGAACTCCAATTTTTATTGCTTGGAAGTCTGTCTGAATTCTCCCATGTTCTTGTATTACAGAAAGTCACTCTTCCCTTACCAGGAGCAGGGGTTCTCAGCACCGTGGCTGCGGGCAAAGGGAGATTGAGACGACCAGTTTCCTTCCTTGTCTGCCAATACATAAAGCACTGTTTCCCAAACTGTCCCATAGGCCACCAATGCCTCCCAAGGTTCTTGACTACTAATTTAGGGGTGCCTGGGTGGCTCAGTCTGTTAAGCCTCTGCCTTCGGCTCACGTCATGATCCCAGGGTCCTGGGACTGAGTCCCGCATTGTGCTCCCTGCTCAGTGGGGAACCTGCTTCTCCCTCTCCCTCTCTGCCCTTCTCCTCCCTGCCTTGTGCTCTCTCTCAAATAATAAATAACATCTTAAAAAAACACAAATGTGCACAGCAACTCCTGGCATAGCTCCTCCTGAACCTGGGACCACAGCTCTGTCTGCTCATTTGCCAAACGGCTGAGGTACCCAGCACATCTCAAAACATGACACAGAAAAGTTATTATTTTAAGGCCCATGTTTAATATTTCCCTCTTTAAAAGCAGTTCTAAAGTGACAAATATGTACACTGTGCCATACATGTCTGCCTTACCTTTGTGGGTTTCTCTCACATGTTTTAGAAGCTCTGTCCATGTTTTTGCCACAAAGGAACATTCTTTTTGACACACATAGCCTGTTGAGAAAAAAATACATTGGTGCATTGCCTTTCATAAATATTCAGTGTAAATACCAAACAATTAGAAAGGAAACTTGTAAGCCTACATAATCTTTCTCCAGGCTCCCAGTAATGTTCGGTTAGTCTTTAGAGGTGGGAATAAAAACTCAGCTTTGCAGGGAAACCTAGTAATCGTGTAGCCAGGTAGTCCACATAGGGTCTTAGGTCCGCACACTTCACAGAAGCATGCTGTTCCCGGTAAGTTGCTGCCCTTCCCCCGCCGCCATGGCTCACAGCCCCCTGCCCCTCCCTGCTTTATGCCTGCATCTTATGTTCCTCTGTGAAAGCTCCGTGGTCCTCCGGGCTTGGCAGACCACCAACTCTACGTCTCAGTGGTTGTGTCCCTACCCCTGGCCTCCAGTCTTACTATCTAGTAAGTTATACAATACAGGAAAGACGCAGGGTGCAATTAAGGGAGAAAATAAGAACCCAGAGGAAATGCTATAGACAAAAGTAGACTTCATGCAAAGCACCAGAACTGGAAGAATCCGTCACTGTTAACAACCAATCTGGGTTTCATCAGCTCATCAGAGAGGAACTAAAAGGAACGAGGCTACCTCTCACTCTTCAGCTACTAATCTCATGTTTAAAACAACAACAAAACCCCCATATACTCAATACTTAGAAAACTGGAATACAGAATAAAA